ATATTATAGAGCTTTTGGTTCTGCAAAAAGGTCTGTTTTCTGGTTCTATCCTCGCCGAAAAAGTCAACTGAGTATTGAAGCCAGAAGTTATTTATGGTGTAAACGGTTAGTCAATGTTCATAACCATATTTCAAAGGTTTAGGAAATTGGTATAATAGGTGATTAGCTACACTGTGAGGGAGACTTTCGGTGAAGTAAGAGACTTACATGTGTACGGCTTTTGGCGCATCAGGGAAAAATAATGAGAGTAAATTTTTACGATGCTACACCGTCACAAACTGACACCAACACCATGACCATGTTCAAACGTCGGTAAAACAGTCTGGGCCGCCAGTAGTAGTGTTTTTCAGAGTCGTGTTTATTTAAACCAAAATGCTGATATTTATACGAGAAAACCCGTTCCAATGTAATAAAAAATCGTTTCGATTGGAAGTGACCATTAAAATGGACAAGAAAAATGCAATTTGAAGAGGGAAACGTCCCCTAAAGTGCTCGAAAAAAATTATTACGCCTAAGAAGTATAACTTCTAACAAGCGTGTTCACACGTTTTTTTAAATTCAAAGTGTACAATACAATAATGTTCCACAGAAGGATAAAGACGCAAGGAAGAAGTGTCTGTTTGATACATTCATCGTTCCTTGCATATTTGAAGCTTGTTACATGTAGCTTATAAATTTTAAAATATTGTAATACAAGTTTATATTTGTTATAAATTATATAAAGCAAGTGATGACATTTATTTAACGAATGTTTAACGTCTCAATAAGCAGTGTTGGCCTAGTGGCTTCAGCGTGCGACTCTCATACCTGAGGCCGTAGGTTCGATCCCGGCCGTGCACCAATGGACATTCATTCTATGTGCGCATTTAACATTTGCTCGAACGGTGAAGGACAACATCGTGAGGAAACCGACATGTCTTAGACCCAAAAAGTCGACGGCGTCTGTCAGGCACTGGAGGCTGATCACCTGCTTGCCTATTAAATAGATTCAGAAATCTGAGGCCAAGACCTAAGGAAATTGTAGTGCCACTGATTTATTTTATTTTGACGTCTCAATTCAGACGGCAAAATAACTTCAGCCAACGTAAAATGTTCTACTACTCTTGTATTATTTAAGTATCGTAATTATCGACTCTCAATCTGCGGGTAATCTATACTTGTGATTGTCTCTCATCAATCAATATGTGAGTCAATAGTTAAATAAATAAAAATGAGTACCGAAACAGCAGCATCTACCCAACCTTATAGCACCAACAAAAATAAACCAATTAATTTTGTTAGTTCATAAAAGACAATGGAATCGGGTTCATGCTTAAAATTTAGGACGATTAAAGTCGAACCGCTAAACACCTACAATTTCTGAAGTAATTTACTTGGCAACTTTGTATGTCGTGCCTTCAAACGTAGGCTTTTCAATTAAAACCCTTCGTGAGCATGAATTTGCATTCTTATAGACCTAGTAGGTTGACGCAGGGGGTTCTTAACCCGTTTTATAAGGTGGTTTTGCATTAACGAATAATACTTTATCATGCTTAAAATAACAGGTGCTTAAACACTACGTCAGGTTATTGTTTGGCATTAATATTCATAATGCTTGCGGCTATTATAAAATACGTTCAATGCATTGACTTTGATTTAAAACTTTGACTTGACTTTAGAACTTTAGAAAAGTAAGTTAAAGTGAGTTATGCAATAATAATAATAAACCTAATTTATTAATGGTTCCATATTATTTACAACAACCTAAGCTATATATGCAAGTGTATGGTTTCATTTGGTTAAATCTAAAATATCATTTTATCATCCCCGCTAGACAAGCAACAAATAATAATAATTTCAACATATATAACTCTGTCTTGATTTTAAATATAGGTATATTACTGTAATAAATATCACCTTTTTATATTAAACCTGCTTCGTGTTTTTAAACAAATGTCTAAAGTATTAAGGGCAATTTAATATTAAATTTAGTTTTTAACACTTTATACGGTTGCAGTTTCGATTATTTTAATATGTAATACATAAAAAGGTTTTTAATTAAAATTTAAATAGTAAATAATCGAGTACATGTAAGAATGCGCTAATTATAACTTACCATTTAAAAAGTCCCGATATGTACAACTAGTTAAGTTATCAATTATTTTGTCATATTATTTGCAAGTTGATATGAAAGTTCTAAGCATTGTATAGCTATTAAGGGTTATAAAAATGTAAATGTTAAAAACAGATTAAGCGGTAAAATAGCCATTATCACGATCTGTTATACGAAACCAAAACAAAAGTTAGCGGGCAAAATTAAATTAATTCCGGAGCATTAGCAACAAGCGGAATAGTCGTAATCAGTACAATAAACTCAAACGGAAATGAAACTTTTCCTCGGCATAGTTTTTTTTTGTATTGTCACTGCTGTAGTACAGTTTTAAATTTCCATAACTTTATAGAATATAAAAATATTTTCGATGCGACGTTAAATTATTCGATTGCTATTTTTCTATAGAGCCCTTTCAGTTTCTTGACGTGGAATGTCCACCGAAAACTACCTTCTTTTCTACTAATAGTGTGTATTTGTTTATCGTCATTTAATAATACTCCAATTGCACTGGTTTCTTTGATAATTTTTATGGCATGAAGTCTTTGACTACGAACCTGAAACAATTATTGTTATGCGATGATAAATAAATCAAAATAAAATAAAAAAATGTTTATTATGGAATATAAGATACAGGTATCATTTATTTCACATTATTAACTTTGTATCCGTAGACAGAGGGCCGAGGTCCGAGAGAAAAAGCCGGCGTATAAAACTCTTGGTACTCAAATCATCAAAATATCATACAATCATCATACAAAATGTCTAAGGCAAACAACACAAAAGTCGCAAATTAAATAGAAGTAGCCCGTCTAGCACTAGATGCATTAATAGATCGCAACATCAAAGTTTCCCTTAAAAGAGTCTGTAAGTAGTGTTATTGGACACTTATGCTAAATATCTTTATTAGGTTACTTAAATTACTATTTAGTCTAGATCGTAATGGTACATTTTGTCTAAGTGAAGACACATGAATAAAAAAAAAATATGCGATTAAACGTTGATATTAATAAAATTAATTAGAAGCACCATTGCCGCTAATAGATTTTGGCCACAGATTTGTCTCCAAATTTGTGATCCGCCCTCTGTGACTCTTCTGTCGTAGGCATGCCGGTTTCATCACGATAATTACCCACTATACGAGTGGGATAATTGCGCCGCAAAAATGCATAGAAAAAAATCAGGTAAGCCATGATTTCGACTACTACTATTCATATTTACTCTTTATTATAACACTAAAACGCGGGTATTTTATTCATAAATAAGAAATTCTATTTTAATATCAGGATTTATGCAAAGACTCAAAGCTGATGTTCTCGAATTGTTGTTCAGTGCTCCTTTGTAAAAGTGCTATACAATCATGTTTAGAAGAGTGGTCGGCATAAGTGCACTTTCTAGATCTAAGCTAGAATATATTTTTAATACTTCAATCACCCTTGCTAAAATACGGGTCACAGTTATTTTTTACGGCATAAATTACACCAAATTTAATCATATACAGACAACTCAGAGCCTCTGGCATTGAGAGTGCCAATGAGCGGCGGTATTACTTAACATCAGATGAGCCTCCTGCCACCTATAAAAAATCGCTTATTATACAAATAATTATTACATTTACAGCTTATTTTGCAAAGAAGTAAATTCTCTCGAAATATAAATTACGTTTCAAAATCATTTAATACAGTGGTCCTGTCCACCACTTGTGGTTCAAGACATGAGTAGTATTACTTTTATATATATCGGAGAAAGGCAATCGAAGTTTCCGGGTCTAATTTACAGACAAGTCTTAACCGCTGTCCAGTGTTGCCAACCTTCAAGCATGTGGTCCACACTTCTCTAAAAGCTGGTCCGGTAAGGTAGAGGTGGGTCTAAAACTGACTTAAAACAAGGCATCTGGTTTTGTAGGAATTTCACATCAGTCTCGACATCCTACGGTAAAATAATATACAGTCTATTATTACTTAGTTAATTATATAATATTAGGTAGTTTATAATATTTCTAAACACATTTCAAGTAACAATCTAATTTCAGAAACTTAAATTGGAATATACAGGTGTATAAATAAACTATTGCATTTACTAGCAGAAGATTAACCATAATATTGTCTTCATTTTAATTTTAAAAATGTCAGCAGTAGCTCTTGCAAATCACGCTTGAGGTGCAGCTCTCGAGGGTAAAGTTGACCTTAATACTACTTTTTAAATGGCTTAGCCGTGAATCAATAACCTGTCGTTGGCAAGAGTTCGCTATGATTTTGTAATCTGTGAAGATTGCGGGATATTAAGACAAAAGTATGAAAAACGTTAAAGATAATTTAATTTCATGATTATCGGGTGTATTTTAAAAAATAACGTTAGTTTAAAAAAAGAACTTGCGGGATATCTGTCCACGTGAATGTACATAAGCAGAGGTATCACTTAACAACAGATAACCTTTGTGTCTGTTTGCTCTCTATCCTATAAAAAAGTGTAAAATATCATCGTTATTTCTGACCTACCGTTAGGTTCACTGTCTAGAGATTTCTCTAAAGTCGATGAAAGCGATTGTTAAAAAATTATTACGCGTAAAACAACGTTCAGTTTAGGTTATATTAAATTTTCATGAAAAATTAAACAACCAAATTTTAAGGAAAAATATTTAATTCACATATTTACACGATATATTACACAGTCATACGACAATTCATATGGTCATTTAACTTCAAAACAACTTTAAAATTTGACTAATAAAATTAGGTACAAAAGTTGACTAGAGTGGCTTAAGAAATAGCTTAATCAAACAATTAAAATCTACACCTATTACTGAAAAATAAGAATATATTGATTACACGTAATAGGTATACAATGCTTACTATCTGATAAATTCTACAATTGGTTGACTACGTATGTACACTTTTCTACCTGAGCATTATCACCTAAGAATGAGAATCCACAAACAAAACGTCATTTGGTATATGAAACTAGAATAATTGGGCTGGGCGTCGCTTGAGAGGGCACTAGCATGGCACTCGGCCTCGTCCGCGCGCAGCTGCAACAAGGCCACGTGTCGCCCTGCCTGATCAGTGCAGGTAGCACTGTGGACAGCTCGTCTTAATTCAGAGCCAGCTTCGTTCTCTTGCAACCACCTGCGAAGCCACGCCCCAAGCCAGGCCAAACCGCACTCGCAGCGTAACGGGTTCCCAGTGAGAATTAAACCACCTAAACAGTGACAAGGGTTTACTTATTTATTATTCAAACCCAATTTACCTCTTCGAGATTGTGGGGTATTAAGAATTAAATCTCATTACCAAGATCCATCTGTTGATAGTTTTAGGTAATAAATAAATACGATTTGGGTGAAGATGAAATTTCATCATTCCATTAATATAATGCGAAAGTTATACTTTCATGTTAATTCTTATACATATATTACCTCATTACCTGTGTCGTTCTTTTTTATATAATCACAAAACAATTGTTGTTTCGCAGGTTTTGAAACTAATTACCATAACACCCCTAAGCTACAGCTGTAGTTAAATATTAAATTTATTCCGGCGGATTATAATCTTCCTATATCTCTACAGTCAAAACATATTTGACTTTTAAATCGATAGTTTTTCTATTTGTACTTTTGCATGATAAAATGTTATCAAAGTTCAGCAATATGTTCGTACCTGAAAGCAATTTTGTCGCTACGTGACTCCAGCTCGTAAAATTCGGGTAGAAGATAGCCGGATTAAGCCTAGCGATTTGATTGTAACTGATGTCTATGCCTAGTTGTGGTATTTGCCCGAGGTGCTTCATAAATGCAGGAGGAAGTTTTGATATCGACGTCTCCGTTATTTTGATGAATATCTCTTGGCTGCTTGCGAAAGGCTCGAATGCATCATCGTGTATCCTCTCCAAATTGACGCCCCTTACCTCTAAATATCGTAATTTTCTCGCGTCAATTCCGTGCAGCTGCTCATTCATTGTTTTATCTTTCCAATGTATTACTAATTTATACAGTGAAGGAAGCGAGGAAGTAATGTTAGCGAGCCGGAAAGTGGAATGATTTATCGCGGACCAAGTTTGAAGATGCAGGGAGCGTAAGGAAGTTAAGGGACGGAAAGAATCTTGGTCAATTATATCAATGTATTTTAGACCATTTAAATTTAAATGTGATAAGTCGTTCAAGCCTTTAAAGCTATTTGGCGTTATTCTAACAACGGGATTATATGAAACATCTAATATCTTGAGATTTCTCAAATGAATCCACATCTTTGGCACTAAAGAAGTTAGTCTGTTATGGCTTATGTCTAAGTGACGAAGGTTCACTAATCGTTTAACATCAGTCTCTTTAAAACTGTTAATGTAATTAGAAGTCAAATTGAGACTCGTTAAGTTCGTTAAAGGTAGATAAGGCACCGACTTCAAACTTATGTTTGCAAGATTCAAATGCCTTAAGTTGGGAAGGTTGTGAAACAGCTCCTTAAAGTTTGCCTTTATAGAGTTGAAACTTAAGTCCAAGCGACGTAAGCCACCAAGACTGGAAAACGTGTTATCAGATAGTACCGTTAGCAGATTGCCTCCTAAGCTCAGGCTTGATAGGAATTGTGTGTTCCGAAATATGTTACCGTCCAAATATTCTATCCTATTGCCAGTGAAATCTAGGTGTCGTAATGTAAAACCTATTTGCGACAGAGCTGTGACCGGAAACAGCGATATCTCGTTAAAACCTAAATCTAAATGCTCTATTATAGTGTTTTTGAAGATATCCCTAGGCAGCAGTCTAATGTTATTGTGGTCCATTTTTAAGTATCGCAGTTTTCTTAAATTATAAAATTGTTCCACAGATAACTGCGATATGGCATTGAATGAGAGGTCTAATATTTGCAAAGACACTAAATCGGAGAATGATTTTCTTTTAATTACACTAATGCTATTTTTATGTAAATCTAAAATTTCTAGGAAGGCGGACTGACCGAACGCTTCACTTACAATGTGTGTGATTTTATTATGAGATAGTATGACATGTCTTATCGTATATTCTACAGCGATAAAAAAATTTGTTGGCACCTCGTAAAAATCATTGTAAGAGCCGTCAAAAATATTAATGGAAATTGGAGTATCTCCTTCTATAAATCTTATTATATTTCTGCTTACATTTATAGTAAAAGTTACGTATTCGTTGGAGACATTATGTAAAGAGTTGAGATACAAATAACTTAAGTTGTTACACTGAAGTTCCAGTATCTCCAGTTTGGGTAAATTAGCGAATGTCTTTGTCTCCATCGAGTCAATTATATTGCTCGCGAGAGATAAATATCGTAAATTAGATAAGTTTGAAAAGGTATATTTCGTCAAATTACTGATTTTGTTGAATGATAAATCCAAATTTGTTAATTCTGGGGTACGGCTAAAACTTTGTTTGTTTATAGAACTTAGAAAATTGTAGGACATTCTTAAATTGCTAATACTCGAAGAAACATTACTACTGTGGTCATCTATCACTATTTCTATAATTCTATTGTAATCTAAATTTAAATACTTTAGATATGGATACGCTGCAAGCTCGCTCATTTTAAGGATGTGAAAATCGTTATTGTCAAACGACAACCAACTGAGATTTTCAAACCCATCGTCGACTTCGATCGGAAAGTAGCCACTGAAGAGCGTTGAAGACGATTCTAAAACGTGCAGAGAGCCCGATAAATTAGAGAACGACTGTGGATGTACATAGTACAGGTCGTTAAAGCTTAAATTGATTTCTTTCACTGGCAAGCTAACAGGAAATACATTATTATTTATCTGTGCAATCCTGTTACCTTTCAAGTTTATAGTCCCCAGGGAAGTCGACCAATCTCGGAATTCATTGGGTAGCAAATTAGATATCTTATTGTAGCTAAGGTCGAGATAACGAATCGAACCGGGCTCGAGAGCGTGGAGGGTGGAAGGCATGGAAGTTAGAAAGTTCCCGGCGAGCGACAGCGTCTGAATACGAGCCGGCAATGGTGGTGCCTCCTCCAACTCATTGTAGGCTAAAGATAAATGACGCAGTCGCAAAACCTGCGCTAGACTGTCCGGCAAATAGGACAATTTGTTGTGCTCTATTTCCAAATGCTCCAGCGAGTTCTTCAACGATATAAATAAGTCTCGAGATATCGACGTCAGTTTATTATAGGAAATTGACAAACGCTCTATTCGATTGTTCAGAAATACCGACTTAGGTATCGTGATCAAATCGTTCAGGTCTAAAATTATCTGTCTGATTTGAATTTCTCGAAATAGGTAGATTTCCACGTCATCTTTTAATTTGTTATTACTCAAATCCAACTTTTCCAGTCGTTTTGTTTTATTGTGTAGACAGGTGCCATTCGTGTGAAAAGTAATTAAATTATGACGGAGGTGTAATATTTGTAGTCTAGGGAGATTAAACATTAAATCACAGGAGAGGCCGTAGAGGAAGTTATTCGATAACTTTAGGACCGTTAGGGACTGAGGCAAGGAATCATAACTGATACTGCGTAAATAATTGCCCTCCAAGTCTAACTGCAACAGGTGAGTAAGAGTGGAAAGAGCTTGGGGTTTCAAATGTGATATTTGATTATTACTCAATGATAAACTAGTTAGTGTATCTTCTAAGTAGTGCCATCTCACTTCTGGTCCGATATGTGATATTAAATTGCTGAAATAAAAGTGTTTAAAGTTAAAGACCCGTTTGCATTATACAAACAAAAAAACTTAGAAGTGACTAAGATAATTACGACGCTCTTTGAGACTGCAGTAAGGGTACAAGTAGTGTTAGTTTACTGATATTTAAAACTGTATTCTTTTGAAAGGAAATGCTTAGAGATATCTCTATATTATATCTATGTAATACAATTACGTCAAAATACTAGATGTCGGGACATATTTAATGATTCAGTAATAGTTATTAAAATATAATGTATACGCACTTTTGTAAATTTAACCAATTCAAAACTCTCAAATCATTTAGACCTTGTTCCGGTATTTCTGTAAATTCGTTGTAACCAAGGTCTAAAGATGCCAAGGAACTTGCCATTGAGCTGAAAAAAGACATCAAATTAAACAAAAATCTTTTATACATATTAAAAAGTTGAAGTTATATAAACGGACGATCTACCCGTTTAACTGTATACTGCAATCCTAAAGATACTCAATAAAATTGTCGCTGTGCGGGCAGGTGCATGGAACATTTGCTGTTATAAATAGGGTCTATTATTGTTATTCTTTTATATGGGAATATAAAATCACGAGTAGACCCGTGACTTTAAAGCACTCGAAACATTGGGATAAAGAATTGTATATAAATCTTATTCGCATTTAATTCGCTTAAAACTAGTAGGTTTTTAACTTGTGTTAATATAAAATTAACGGAAATAAAACACTTATAGTTTACCTTAACGCATGAGCTTCGATGTAGTGTAGTTTATTCGCTACTAAAACTAATGTTTGTAAATGCAATCCATCCAGTGCACTTTCAGTAATGATTTCTAAATTTGACATACTTATATCTAAGTGTTGAAGCTCTATCCGAGGCCATTCTGAAAAATAAAATATTCTCAATACAGAAACTTAAAGAAATAATTGAATATGTTTGCGAGAATTATTTTTACCATTCATTTGTTTAATTTCTCCGCAAATAAAACCTATGACCACAGAGTAGACGCATTAAATCACTGGCAAGAGGTGGTTAGATCAGAGTTAAATTAGAAAAATAGTTGTGTTTAATTGATGAATGATATAAGCTATATATTATTAGCTATTATGAAAATATAATGGCTACTTTACTATTTGAACGATCTTTTTGTATCGGCCCTAGTAAAGTCTTGAATAGGGAATTGCTTTTATCAGCCAATTTAGCTATTTTTAGATATACTTCGGCTTAAAGCCGGCACAGGTTCTTTACGATTTTGTATTAAAATGGCAAATACATATTCCGTTTCTTAAAATCTTATTATTACAAAATGTATGCAATAGCAAATTGTTTTTGTGTATAATTGTTTGCTATATTCATTTTGTTGTAGAGAAAAATAGTTTCACTTATGTAGTTAACAAATAAATAAATACATTTTTTATTGAGCTTTACTAATATATTTTAAGTTTTTTTGATTTTTGATAAAAATAAAATTACATTAGCTTAGAACTTCAGGTCCAAGGTCCTACCCTTAGTGGTTATTTGGTGTTTCAGTACCTACCGTTTTATAACGTTTAAGCAATAAATGAAAAAAATAATATCAAAACCTTGGAATACCTGATAGAGGTCATTAATTATCCGCACAATGCGTATGAGCGCGACAAATGCATATAAAAGTAGTTAATCGGTTTTTAAGTGAACCAATTGTAACGTAGTTCTTAACAGACATGTTTATTGTTTAGTGTTTACGTCTACATAAGCCATATAAGCCGGGCCATTAACAACGTTACTAATTTAAGGAGAATATTTTCTTCGAGCAAAGAAATTAATGTCAGTTGTATTTTGTGAACGGCAGGCTAGTTCTTTATCACTACTTTGGGCTCTGCTGTAAAGCCTAGGTCATCAAACACAACGTTTATTGCTTGTTTAATAGCTACGGAGGCGTTTTTACTTCAATATATTCTGTACTTTCCACAATTTTAACTTTACATTACAGTGTAAGTATTTGTTTATGTTTTGGTATTAAGTGAGTAATTTAATACATATTAAACTATTCCTCATATTTTAAAATACACGACATAGATTCCACCACATTGACTTCCTTTGTTTCATTTTACACAAAATAGTTATGATTTATAAGCGTTATACTTTAGACTCCTTGCTTTTATTTCATTTCCATTATTATTTATTTATTCTATTAAAAATAATACCAATTTTATTAGCTATTATAAATTGGATTATTGTTAAAATTGGCGGAAACAATCATAATATATCGTGTAATATGTCATTTTAAATAACCAATAAAAGCCAATAAAAATGACAATGCCATAAAACTGAAGTTAACTCAAAACCATAGGATGTCAACTTTAGCAATTATATTTAAATATATTAGGCAGCCTTCACCAAATGTCCCTTTATTAAAAAAAACAAGTTTACTCGCAGACCTAATAACTAATGACATAAAAATAATAAAAATAATATAAAACAATACCTGGAAATCTATGCAATGGCACGGCTGTGCAGGACATATGCGCAGTCCTGCAGGAACAAAGTGGGCTTGCAGAGCAGGGCTCCAACCGTTCGGGGGCCAGGGCTCCCACCACGATGCAAGCGGCCAGAGCCGCCAAACGCAGCGCATGCCGCCCACTACCATCGCCCAACACCATCACTGAAACAAGATAGTTTATATTTAAACTTCAAATATCGAACAGTATTAGCCACATACGCTAGCAACAAAACTACAATAGGATGATCCCATCCTTTGACCAGCTTACCGTTACAATAGATAAATTCTTGAAAAAGTGAGAAATTGTTATTATTCAACAGCCGTACATATTGATTTTCGCAAAGGGTAAGCCAGTTCACACATAAATTAGTCAATTATCAAATAACTATTGTACTGTTATGTCTCATTCAAATTATATTTACGCTTATGAAAAGACAGATTTCTTACGTACGAAGATTGATCAAGTTGTTATTGAACCCGTTCATAAAGTTGATTTTATATTGTAGTTGATACCTATAATTGTATGTACATATAATGTTGTAACGTAATTTTAACGTTTCGCTATTAATACACAGAGAATGCCTTGAATTCTTAACGTAAATATGCTCTCGCTTACACAAAACTGAATTTCATGAAATTTCATTTGCCTTTTAAGGTTTTATGAAATAATAAAAGAAAAATGTTGTGGTATAATATAGCCATTCTATACTATGTGTGACTTTACCACAAATGTTTCTAGTAATATGATTCAAGTAAAGAATGTTTAGAAGAAGATTATCGCAATTATTACTATATACCCAGACTCGCTTTTATATTAAATTATTAAGATAACAGGATACATAAAACAAAATGATACATGATAAATTAGTCTTTTTCAGTGTACTCGTAGTGGACACCAGGGCTGACGTTGTGTCCAAAGCGGAGGAACTGTATAACAATTGAAGGTATTCACTTTTAAATAATTTAGAATAGCTATGAATTCTCCGCAAATTCGATATCTTTACGAAGTTGTTAATACATATAATAGCATCCTTATAAAACGTGGACTAAAGTTGTAGTATTTTTGTAACAAAGACGATGTTATGTCCATTTTAGAATGGTTACGATTGTGATATAGACGGCATAGAATATAGGCTAAGGAGTCTTTCCGGATCTCATGAAACACAGTAAAGTAGTTCCGTTGTTCAAATCCGGTGATAGTAAAGAACCCAATAATTATAGACCTGTGTCAATTCTGCCAGCTCTCAGTAAGGTGTTTGAAAAGTTAATGCTCAATCAAATGTTATGTCACTTTAATAAAAACTCCATCTTTCATGAACAACAGTACGGTTTCACCAAAGGGCGTTGTACAACTGACGCCGGTGTCTCCCTAATCAAGAACATTTTTAACGCTTGGGAGGAAGCACAAGATGCCATTGGAATCTTTTGCGACCTTTCGAAGGCGTTGGATTGCGTAAACCATGAGACTCTTCTGCTGAAACTTAATCACTACGGGATTAAGAACAAAGCTCTGGACTTACTAAGATCTTATTTGAAAAACAGACAGGTTAAAGTTCAGGTTAACGGCATAAACTCGTTAGGGTCTGAAATTACAATGGGCGTTCCTCAAGGTTCAATATTGGGTCCATTCCTCTTTTTAGTATACATAAATGATTTACCCCAATTAGTTCAGAATAAACCGAAGATGGTGTTATTTGCAGATGACACATCATTGATTTTTAAAGTAGATCGACGGTCACAAAATCGTGACGACGTGAATAACTCTATTCTTCGGGTCCAAAATTGGTTTACGGTAAACAATTTGGCACTGAATGATAAAAAACTAAATGTATTAGATTTACGTTGCCAAATGTTAAAAGTAAGGAATGTGACATAATGTTGAATGAAGGAAAACTGGAATTTATTAATCAAACGGTTTTCCTAGGCATCACGCTAGACGAGAAGTTACAATGGGGACCTCATATCACATCTCTTGCGGGGCGGCTGAGCTCAGCCGCTTATGCGGTTAGAAAGATAAGATATTTAACCAATGTAGAAACTGCGCGTTTGGTCTATTTTAGCTACTTTCACAGCATAATGTCTTACGGCATTTTACTGTGGGGTCGGGCTGCTGACATAGAATCCATTTTTATTTTGCAAAAGAGAGCGGTCAGAGCCATTTATAATCTACGTCGTTGCGAATCTCTCAGGGAACTATTTAAAAAGATTAATATTATGACAGTACCTTGCCAATTCATTTATGAAAATATTATGTATGTAAGAAAGAATCTACATCTTTTTAGTAAAATAAATGAAAGACATAATTTTAGTACTAGAAATAAAGATAAAATAGCTCAACCATCTTTCAGATTAGCCAAAGTTCAAAATTCATTTATGGGGTACTGTGTGAAATGTTACAATAAAATACCTTGTGACATTTTAAAACTTAATGAACGAAAATTTAAATGTTTTATTAAAAGTACACTTTGTAAACAAGCATATTACAAATTAGATGATTATATTCAAGATAAGAATGCTTGGAAACATGCTGGTCCTGCTCCATAGGACAATCCTATGATTGGCTCTATAGCCTGGACAAAATCAAATTGGTTGCTGATTTTTTGCTTTAACATATTTTTGTTATTATTATTATTATTATTTTTTTAATTTATATAATGCTACAAATGTAATTATTTTTTTTTGTATCTCACACACTGTTTTGTTGTGTTTTTTTATATTTTTATTACTCTTTAATGTTAATATTCTAAGGTTTCGATATTTGTAAATATGTGAGGAACATGTATACTAACTTTTTAGTATAGTAGTTTATTCTAAGAGTACATTGTCTTCACATATAATTATTTAACAAATGTAACAAAATATTGTAAACCTATTTTAAAAGAGTAAGTGTGGAGTTTCTTGCCCATTCTTCTCCACACGAAACTACCTTTTGGAAGGGGCAACTAGAATCATCTTTATATTTTTTTTTTTTTTTTTTGACGTTCAAAAGTGCCATTTTAGATGGTCTAATTGAAATAAACGATTTGACTTTGACTTTGACTTAGGCTAACATGAATTTTACGCATCTTTACGAAGTCGTTAATTATGTAATAGCGACCTTTTATAAAGCGTGGACTAAAGTTACGAAGACGATATTTCTCGTATCACAATGTTCGTTCCCATTCTCCTCCGAAACGGCTCGACCGATTCTTATGAAAATTTATATTCATATTCAGTAAGTTTGAGAATCGATACTATCTATCTTTCAAACCCCTAAGTGATAAGGGGTGTCCACCCCAAAAATATACTTTAACATAGACATAACATTTATTACATACGAAAACACACACACATAAACACACAAAATTTTTATTTTTTTGTTTCATTGTTTTATGGTACAGCATACAAAAATACATACAACCCTTAATTTTCCCCTTTTTTTATTATAGTAGATAGTAATTTTAAGGTTTAAGGTTTAAGAATAACTTTATTTCTCATAAGAATTGAAAATTCACTTACTGAGAAACACATATTTAAAACTAAGATTAAAAATTAGAGCGCACAGATGTAGGTACATATTTAAAATAAGAAAACAGAACAGCACCAAAAATGTGGGTAGACATAAAAAACTTGGTCAGTCAACCAAGCGAAACACGGATGTTAGAATTTAATTTTTTTCTAGATGTGGCATTGATGGCATAGTCTGATATAATTTTACTGAACTAAAAAAATGTTTCTTAGAAATAATATACGTATATGGCAAAACGACGTTTGCCGGGTCTGCTAGTTTCCATATAAAATGAATAACCATGGAGACTATATATAAACGGTATAATATGGGTCTTTGGTTAAAAGTGTACAATGTAGAAAGTATAAAGAGTTGATGCATTAGTCTTGCTTCGAGTGTCCTCGTTACTCCTCTGAATTTCCGTACGTCCGACATATGTACACGAAACATATAAAATAAAGATTAACAAAATACTCGAACTCGATAAGTTCATAATCAATTAATTTATTAAATGCCGAGGTAAGATAAATAACAATCGTAATTACAATTAAAAATATTATTTGCGATTCACGAAATTCGATGTTGGAGATTTTATAAATAAAATTGGGAACTTGAATCCTTTATTAATTTTAAATAATTAATGAGCACGGCTCTATTAATTAAGGAGCTGCTATTTAAAGCTGAAATTTCAGCAGTTTCTTCGGCTCAAAATCCGAAATGAATTTTACTAAAGATTTTTAGTTAACCGGGCCAGAGCTAAGATTAACAAGTTGAAGTGTCCGTGACCTGTTTCAGTTTTCGTGGCAAATTGCTTAGAATTTTTTTAACAATACTTGTATTTCTAGTTGAGCTGATTTTTGTTTATTCTTTTGAAGTCAAAGTTTTAATTACTGTTTAATTAACGTGTGTAACATATATCTATACTAACTTTATAAAACTGAATTGAAAACTGGCGTTAACCACATAGTAAAATTATAAATTTCAACTGTTAGAGTAATTTATTTTACATTGTATAGTCAATTTATCGATGAGAGATATCCGACTAATATTATAAACGCGAAAGTTTGTAAGTATGGATGAATGTTTGTTATTCTTTCACGTTAAAACTACTGAATGGATTTCAATGAAACTTTACAATAATATAGCTTATACATCAGAATAACACATAGGCTACAATTTATGAAGCTATTGTGTGAATTGTCCAACATATCAAGTAAGAAGAAAAAATCAACCATCTGCGATATATTCTGCCGTACGCTGCCAAAACCGCTAGAATTGATTCCTAAATGAAAACAGATACTGCTATGGCTTCGGATATTTTAAGTAGATAAAATATGTCTTTCACACTACATCAATCGGACAAATATTATTTTATCCCTGCGCAGACGAAGTCGCGGGCACCAGCTAAAAAAACGTTGTAAATATAAGAACAAAATTACGCTATGCCTGAATTAAATTGAGAACTTGCTCTCAATAAAGCCTCATTACGATGGATTCACTTTATTTACATGTTTAGATATACTAGATTAAAATAAATCCCTGAGGTCCTAACCAAAACCAGTCTGTCTCAAATTCTGATCACCTACTTGTCTATGAAATAAATATGATCGAAATAACCGATGAGATTCGTGGCTCATATAAGTTGTACTGCCACTAAATTATTATTATTTTTT